AGAATAATGTAAAAAACGTGCAATCTAACCTGACCTAACCTAAATGATTAGCAATCTAGTTAGAAGATAGGTTAACATTATTAAATTTCACCGATGCTGTAAAATCTATACAACATCAATATTACTCCCGCTTCGACTCGGACAAATTCACTCGAATTCAATCTGTCGGTGGATTTATACTTTTGGGGGGAGGGGAAGAAGGAAGGGCGATCGATTCCCTCGTAAGTTAACAGTGGCCTACTTGACTGCACCTTATATAACATCGACCGTTCCTCCCTTTCGATCGAGGTCCGCGACCAAGTTTATGGTGTAAACAGACCGCCATCGATGCCCGTCACTTCGCGGATAAACTCGTCTTGACAGAGTGCAGGTCCCGCGGGAAATGGTGGCAGCCTTTTGAGAAACGCGAACGTATCAATTTTCTCCTCGAGATTGAAGATTTCTCGGAAGGAAAGAGTTCCCGCTTTTGTCGAGAATTTTGTTACATCGGTGATGACAAGTTCTAAGAGGAAAAAACGTGTTAACAATTGGCTCCCTCTAGATCGAGTTGGAAAAAGTATAAATTAAGTAGTAACAACTTTATTGGACGATTATTCGAACAGCTCGTTGTTCAAATGTATCGAATTTCTTAAGATAGGACAAGGAACGAAATTGTATTGTCGGTTATGCGTTTCGAACAATGTTTCGAAAGGGGTATTTAAAAAGAAAAAAAACTTTTCCTTATTCACGTAACAATAAGAACAAAAGGACGATGAGAATAACACGGCCGTGTTGTTATCCCGCTATATAAATAAACACGCGACTGTTTTCTCGTGAAAATCTATTAAAATTTCACTCGCTTATCGAGTGGCGTGGACAAAAGTGAAACAAATTACTATCGAAAGTCCATTGATAGGGGGTTTGAAAAAAAAAAAATACAAAAAATCCATCACGAGCAAACTCCTCGAGTTTTTATCAATCTCGAATTATCGAATTATCGCTGAATCGTGCTCGAACGAGAAATTGCTCCAATTTAGCAGGTGGCACAACAACATTCCTCGCGACATACAAATATCTCTCCGCTCTCCCTTTAAATCCTTTCCAAAATTAGGAAAACGAGCGAGGGAAAATTACTGGACTTTTCCGAAGATTGGAGAGTCTAGAGAGAGTTAGATTGAGGTTAGGCTGTGTGTAACAATAATAGAGAGAGAGAGAGAGAGAAAGAGAGACGAGGCGAAACTGGGCGAAATTCGGCGCGCATTATTCAGCGAGCACGAGGAGGTTGGGGATTATCGTTATCGGCGGTTGTTGTTGCGCGGATCGCGGCACAGTTGAAAAAGTGTCGGGCAGGCAATAATAATTAATGTTAAATGATAAAACGGGTTCATCGAGTGACACAGACTGATCGATGTCATAAGGCCGGTTCTCTTACCCCTTGATAACCCCTTCTCGTGACATCGTCGAGCGAGCGATTATCATTTCCACGAACGCCCGTTGCACATCCATTCGAACTCTTTTTTCTTCGCTCTCCTTGTCGAGGATCGTCGCTCGCTCGCTCGCTACTCACACGCGAGTGTTCCACGCGATTTATCGATTATCTTCGTTTCTTCTAATAAAATAGATTTGTCGAGATCGTATTACGTTTGCCTGAAAATTCGAGCTCGATCGGTACATACATATCGAATACGATATAGATTTAATATTAATCGATCAATCTATTGCATCGTTTTTGATCAACAATTATCGAGAAGAGGTATTGATTAATCAAATCATCGATAGTTTGGGAAAAAGTTGGTAACATTATTAATAATTCACAAGTAGAAATCGTGAAAAATTGATTATTAATAGATATCGATATACGCACGTTTTACGAGTTTGTATACACGAATAATAATAATAATAATAATAATTTGCTTATTACGCGAAAAATTAAATCGGCGAGATCGCAGATATAAATAATTTGTTCAAACTTGGGTAATTGGTTGAGAAAGAGGGAATTTTAAAAAAAAAAAAAAATGGATCGTGACGATCGGACTTCCACCAATGGAATCGTATGTCGCAGATTATTACATTACTTTTTTTTTCAATCCATCTGCTCTTTGATCCATAGTGATTTTCCACGCACTTTGCCTCTCGACATAGTCCTTTAACGAGAATCGCCGTTTCGTAATTATTATCTTTAAACTTTGCGAAGTTTCTTCTTCTTCTTCACGAACGCGCTATCTTTGCCGGCTTAATTAATGAAACGTGTTATGAATATGTCCTAGGAAACCGAATGGTGTTAGGGAAACGAACGAAGATGGAGAATATTTATAGAAAAATTAGGATTTAAGTTAAGATTTCGTTTTCAAAATTGAATAATTACTTCGTATGTTTTTTTTTTTTTTTATACGAAGAATATTTTGAACGGTTCTCGTCGTGGCACGTGTTTAATAGGACACGCGTCTATAAATCGTTTGAAGTGCGAGATAATGTAAAAACTTCAATAAACAGTTCGTTTCATAGCGTTGTAATCTATACCCAGAAACGTGCTCGCGATAAAGTGGCGAGTTTGCGGAGACTGTCGCAACGAAATTATGGCGAAGAGAGTTCCTCGAAACGAGCGGAAATATCTGGTTTAATCGTAAATTCACGTAGCAATTAGGGAAACGATACGAATCGAATCGGGACCCCGTAACGACTTCGACTTTGTGTCGTTCGAATTTTAATCGGGGAAAGGAACCTCCTGTCCAATTATTTAATAAATTCGTTTTTCGACGAAATTTCGACCAGATAACAAGTAATGTTTGTGCAAAAAATTATGGAAGAGAAGAAAGTGTAATTTTCCAATGCAAAATGAAAGCAACCCGTCTAATTCTACTTCCTAATAATTTCTGCTCCTTTCTTTAGGAACAGAAAAATCGATAAATCACAGTTATCACGGTTGTCCAATTTTCAAGAGTAACTCGACTCGAATTGCGAAATTTTTGGGAGACTCGGGGAAAAAAAAAAAAAGAATCGTTCTCAGTATTCAGATAAATATATATTCACGTTCTAAGTCGGTCGGAATTTCAATTACCAATACGAATGTATCTTTCTTATTACCGAAAAAATTACCGAAATCGAGTGGTATCGAAAATTTCGGTGATTAATACGAAACATGATAAAGAGAAGAAGCAGAGGATTTCGGTTCTTCCGGCGCTATCTGTTTGCAGGAAGGCGATATTCTATTAAGCGGGGGCCAAGTAGTGTCACGTCGGCGCAAGCGTCCCCGGAGGATCAACCCTTTGCCGGTCCCTGCATAATCCACGAGCCCGTGGAGACGCAGGAAATTAGACGGCCCCCCTCTCGCCCCCTCTCCACGTCGGTCGCGAATGATTCGGGGCGGAATCATCAGGAGGAATCCAATAAACACCGTGCCACGATGAATTAAGATTCGATCCTCTTCACTCTTTCTTCCGTTTGCGACGAGAATTTGAAATTCGTCGAATTAAAATTTATTCCTGCGTTATTCTTCGAAAGTAAATAAATTTTGCACGAACACGTTCACTGTGCAAGTACATCTGTTTATTAGAGTCAATTTGGAATTTTGATAAAATCACGAATAAAAGTGATAGATCGGATTCTAGCATTTACGAGAAATTATTTATATAAAATTATACACTTTTTGAGTTGAAAATATAAATTGTCCACCGATGTATCGATAAACGTAGATTTCGAAAATCTTTGAGTAACCAGGTCAAAGAAATTCGATCGAAATAGAAAAGTTACGGAATTTTAACAATAAAATATAAATTTTGCGTAGATGTCCACTGATGTAACTGTATCTATTTATTATCGATAAACGTAGATTTCGAAAATCTTTGAGTAACCAGAATCTTCGATCAAAGAAATTCGATCGAAATTTGATCGAAATAGAAAAGTTACGGAATTTTAATAATAAAATATAAATTTTGCGTAGATGTGTAACTATATTATATTTATTATCAATAGAAGAGTGGATTTCGAAAATCTTTCGAATCTTCGATCGAAATTTGATCGTAGAAAAGTTATTTTGATAAAATCACGAATAAAAGTGATAGATCGGATTCTAGCATTTACGAGAAATTATTTATATAAAATTATACACTTTTTGAGTTGAAAATATAAATTGTCCACCGATGTATCGTAATAAACGTAGATTTCGAAAATCTTTGAGTAACCGGGTCAAAGAAATTCGATCGAAATTTGATCGAAATAGAAAAGTTACGGAATTTTAACAATAAAATATAAGTTTTGCGTAGATGTGTAACTATATTATATTTATTATGAATAGAAGAGTGGATTTCGAATATCTTCGATCAAAGAAATTCGATCGAATAGAAACGTAAAAGAATTTCGATAAAGTATAAATTTTATCTTAAATGTTATCGAGAGAACGAAAAAATTTTTTGGATCTTTAATAATAAGAAATTTATTATTCAGCATCGACAGGTTCGTAAATGTTAGCAGAATCTAGTTGTTCCATAACTCGGACGTGACGCGTATTCAACGTGAAAAAGCAGGAATCGGGAAGCAGGAGGACACAGAGAGGAAGTTGTTGGGACGGTCAGAGGCGGGTCATCCATCAGCGCAAGATTCGGTCTCCACGGGCCGGCCGCGGACCAACTTTATCCAATATTTAAGGTTTTGTCCCTGGCGACCGGGCTGATATATCACTCGCATTAATATATATTTGCGGGGGAGATAACTGTGCGAGGGAGTGGGGCGAGGACGGTCGCGTAAATGCCCGCCAAGATTCCTTCGCGAATAATGGATAGATACGATGTTATTTATCGCGTCTCTGGAAAAATGAAACGGTGTCTCCTTTCGTCCAATACGAGTCTCTCCTTTATCTTCATCTTTTCCCACCCAATGCTCGATTCCGCGTGAAAATAAATATTAAGATAACGAATTTAATCAATCATTCAAGAGACGATCGATTAAATAGTTTGAATAATATTAATCGTTTTTTGCTGTTATCCTTTCTAAAATGATAAAAAATTTAAAAAAAATAATCTATTTAACGAAACAGTAGATCCGAAATTGAATTTCAGCAATAATATGAGTCAGGGTAGTCTGAACAACGTCGAGGTATAGATATTAATCCTAAAAATTGTCGTGGAAAATTATAATAAATTGAATTTTTAATCATTCAATAATGAACCAGTAATTAATGGATATCGATGAAGAAATCTAGAAATAATCGCAAATAAAACGTTCAGTTTCAGTTTAAGATTCATCCGAATAAACGATAGTAGAAATATCACTAGATAAAAGTTACTAGGACATTTCTAAAGTACCATTTTTTAAAACGGCAACAACAATATATATATTTTGAAGAAATTGAATTCCAGCAATAATATGAATCAGGATAGTCTGAACAACGTCGAGGTATAGATATTAATTCTAAAAAGTGTTGTGGAAAATTATAATAAATTGAATTTTTAATCATTCAATAATGAACCAGTAATTAATGGATATCGACGAAGAAATCTAGAAATAATCGCAAATAAAACGTTCAGTTTCAGTTTAAGATTCATCCGAATAAACGATAGTAGAAATATCACTAGATAAAAGTTACTAGAACATTTCTAAAGTACCATTTTTTAAAACGGCAACAACAATATATATATATATTTTGGTTTGGAAACGAAAGAAACGAGTGTCGAAGGGTGGATCGTTAATAAATCGTGAAACCTGACCCCTCGTCACTCTGACACTTTTAACTTCATCTCGATAAGATGGCCGGGGCCGATAAAGGAAGGTGTTACATCGATGAATTAGCAACACTTGGCTTCATTTTCTACCTCGTGGCTCGTGACACGATCAATTCTCGGTCCCAATGATCGGGGCCAGCTGCTCTGCAGAGATCGATTAGTATGTAAATAAGGGACGACTGATTATTTAAACTGGCCGTTCGCGCGTTTGCTCTCCGCTCAATTTTCAGGGATCTCATCTCCGTTAATGGATTATGCACAGTGACGCGTAATGGAGATTAAGATTATCCTCGATTTTCCTTTGTCTGCACTTTTGAAATTTGCCTCGGCAACAAATTTTGCCAACAAGCGAAGCGTTTGAATCGAACTCCACGCTTATGTTACGTCAAACGACCACGTATGGCTCTCACCATTCATTTTGTACGGCTTCACTCATTTTTCTTCCGAGTTGCGGATATTCGCCAATCCTGGAAAGTGCACATCTCTTTGTACGGACAAACAACTTATCGACGAATCGAGAGAAAACGAGAATACTCGTGTAAATTAAACTTGGCGAATCCCTCGAACGACCAATTTTCAATACCGTCGGTCGGTATCGAGTTCTTTGCTCGTGGAAACGGCAGACAGAGCGGGTTTAAAAGCGAGCCGAATAAAACGATTGCACCCGAGATCGAATTCAATTTTCATCTTTCTCAGTCTAAAAATCAAAATCCCTAGAAACGGATGGATCCGCTTTAAGGAAACTCGAATTCTCCTCGTTGCTGTCTCCTTCTTCTTCTTCTTCTTCTTCTTCTTCTTCGTGGAATCGTTATCCGATTCCGATCGAGAATCGCGCCTAATTGCGCCTAATTATACTCTCCTCCTGGTGATTTTTTTCTCTTTTTTGGGGAGGGTTGACAAGAGGGAGGAAAACGGGTTCGGTAATTGGTAGAATCGGGCCAATTAGCCCTCGTCCGAGAAACGATCAAATGCAAATCGATCATCTTATCGAGGCCTCTCCCCCCCCCCCTCTCGGTTCGTCGTCCGTTTCATTGGTCGAACGGGGTCGAGAGACGATTAAATCAATTCTTCTCCCTTCTTCCGATGATATAATATTCGATCGAAATTTTTCGAAATAACCAGGGAAATTATACGCTTCTCCAACCATTTTATTCATCGTCCTCGACCAATTTTGGCGTATTCTTGGATAAACTGTTGTTCGAAATATCATCTCAGATTTATTCACGTTTGATTTTTTTTTTTTTTTTTTTGAAATATCGCTTTGACTGTCGTTGCGATAGAAATATTATTCTCAAAGTTCTCCGCCTCGAGGCGAGTTTTCGAAGCGTGGAGTGAAATTAGTTCAAGCGGAGAGAAGTCTCAGTTTGATTTTTCGTTATCGTATAACGAAATCTATATACGGGAGAAGGAGGGAGAAGGAAAATAGCGATAAAAATTGAGTAATGCAGTAAGAACAGGTGGATTCGAGAACAAGTTATTGGGATGAGTTCCCCGTGATTATAAATAATGAAATTATTTCTATTCGTTAAGAGATATAATATAAGAAGATGAAGAATAAGAATAGCAGACAATAAACGAGTGATATGTTCTTCTTAATAATTACTTTATTATTAAAATATATAATCACACAACATGGATTTTTAATCATCTTCCTTTATAATACGCAAAGATGCTGGTTAAATTTGCTCGATCGATTCGAAGCCGTTTTCGAGCCACCCATTCACGAAATATACACAAATCTGTCACCGGCTCCCGGAATAGGCTCGGACAATCTCGTAAGCTCGTAAAATTCCTTTGGACCCGTTCGCTGCCTGCGTCCAATGATCACCGAAGTAGTTTATTTTCATTCCTTTTTATTCTCTCTTTTATTCCAACGTATCGTTCCAGTTTCGAATTTCGCCTATTTTTTTCGAATGACTCGATGACGCTTCGTGAATCGATAATCTTCGAAGAAGTAGAAGAAGAAAAAAAAAATCACTGCGAAAATCTGTGAATTTTGTTTCGGATCTTCTTCTGAAAAATCCAATCATCTGCTCGATCATCCAGTCCACGTGTTTCTCGATTAATTTCTTCCAATAAACGGAAATAATTCGTTTTAACGAGTAAATAATAAACCGCCGATTAATTTCATTTCCAATTCGGGGGATGGATGGGAGTCGTGATGAGAAAAATTCAAAAAAGGAAGGCGGTTGAGGAGGAGGAGGCGGCCGGCAGAGGAGTCCGTTGGACCGCAAGCGAAGGCGTGCGGTTAACTGACTGTTGGCGAGATTAATGCGTCGCCTTCTATCACCTGGGTGATTGACAGCCCTGTGTGACCGCGACAAAGCGCCGACTCCCGGCCCCCTTCACCCTCCCCTGCTTCGTTATTGTGCCGCCTACCGATTTTATAACCGTCCTCAGACCCGAGTGTCAACCTGACCCAATCTCCTTTCATCCTCCTCCTGTCGTGTCGAGTGAAATTCGTAGAATTTAGAATTCTGTTCTTACTATTCTCGATTTATTTTCTTCTTCTTCTTCTTCTTCTTCTATTCTCTTCGAAGCGAAACGAACGATTTCTCGTTAAATTCGTGGAGCTCGACGAGAATATTTCTTTCTTTCTCTTTTTTTTTTTCTCGAAAATTTTCCTGATTGAAATTTTGAAAAGCGACGATAATGATGATCGTCGTTAATTTAACCATTCACAGTTGTATGTCGAGTAAGAGAAGAGCCCTCTAGAATATTTATTAATGTAAATATATTATAGGATTATATATAATGAATGCAATCGCAGGATATGATTGGAAACACACGTGAAATTTAAAATTTAGGAATAATAGGAACAGAAAAGGAGGGACAAGTGTGATTCGAATCGTTCTTTTTATGCAATATCAAATCTAAAATTATACCATGACGTAGAACTTATATTCGGACATCGAAATACTTAAAATTGACTTTGGAAACGAACGAAGAAGTAGAAAACAATTCATTCAGAATCGGTAAATTTTATATTAAAACGTATAAAGATAAAAGTATTGAAACTGCTTCCGTTCTTGTGGCTTTCTAATGCAAGTAACGCGTTAACTTGCATCAAATTACGTTCCGCCGCTGAGGAGGGGACGAGGTCGGAACGACGTCACGCGTGACGTCTGTCACGGCGGAGGAGCCGTTGTGTCCCACAATCGGAGGAGATAAAGTCTCCGTGACGCGTTCGCCGGCTCGAAGGATCGAAAGAATTAATTACAGAGAGAGAGAGAGAGAGAGAGAGAGAGTTAAAATAAGCGGTTATCGTCCGGTGATAAGAGGAACCTCGTCTCGATTCGCATAACAATTCCATGGCTAGCGTGTCGCGGCCACCAGGCAGAGCCAGGCCTGAGTTCAGAGAGAAGAGTGTCGATTATTCATTGGCAATTCCTCGACCGATCTTCTCGTTGAAACTCGCTGTTGCGCGGCAACAAAAATTGTAATTATAAGAGAGAGTTTAATAATTTGATAATTTTAATGTCTTTATTCCAAGCTTGAAACTCAAAATGCAAAGAATATTTCTCTTTAGACCATACTTTTAATTATTGAACGTTTTAAATTTTAATCGTTATTTACGTTATTCTTTCGATTGTCATCGATTAGGACTGTTCTTATTTTTTCGGACAACGTTCCAAGCATATTTCCTCTTCCTTACAAATGAAAAAAGCAAACTTAAAACAATATTGCATTAGAGAATTTTCGAATTCAATATTGAAAATACGAAGGAATAGACGAATGAGAAACTTTTCTATGTCGAATATTACACTTTCAATAAATTACAGTCATACAATTTTTCAAAATACATTACTCCTACTTTTCCATTTTTATTTTTTTTTTCCTCTTCCTTATGAAATTAAGAAAGGAAACTTGTGGGTTAAATAAATGATTTGCTTCAAAATCATTTTCATTTCGAGCATATTGGAT